TTAAAAGGGAAGTTTTAAGAAAAGATAAGAAAAAGGAACAAACAATTTATGTCATCAGTCATCACATATGACATTTTTGGGCTCCACACAAGTGTCTTTCCAAATTAAGAGTCTAATATCATTTTACATATTACGTACTTTTGAGTTTTGACATTAGAGATGGGATTGATTGACTAACCAACCAAATGGTTCATTCAATAGGTAGTGCCAATGCATAGTTTGTTTAGCCACAAGGCTACAAATATTTTTAAACACACGACACAACCCATGCGTATGCGTGAATTTTAAGGTTGAAAAATTAGATGTGACCGACTATCTACATGAGTAAGATAAATTTCATCGAGTAACAAATTATTAGTGAAGGTTATAGTGCTAAAAAAATGCCAATTTTTCGTTTCAAAACAATTTATATATTAACAAGTTTATTATAAATTAATATTACTATTTTGTTACTTTTAGTTCTAACACCGAAACATAAGGTTGTTCTTCGAGTCGAGTCGAGTAGCTCATGCTCGAGCTCGTGCTCGTTGAATAAACGAAACGACTATGACTCAAGCTGAATTCGTTTAAGCTCGTGAAAACTCGATTCATTTTGTTTAATAAACCTAAAACTTTAAACTAGCTATTGGCGACCGGTCCATACACAAATAAGTTCCGTTCGACTATTTCATTTAAAACCCATTAAAAAATGAATCGAGTTTGACCTTCTTATACGTTTATCAAACAGTATACGTTTGACCTTCTTTCCTAGAAAGAGCTCATTTGTCAAACTTGAATTAGCAGCCTCCTGGGGAAGGGCTGCCATCCTTAGTTGAATCTCCCCAATATATTATTTTATTACATATTTTATACCTTATACTTATTTAATTTGGTTTTTTTATTAACGTTACATTAAAATGTTCAACTCAGTGCGTGCCATAACTGGGGGGACGTGAGCTTGAGCGTCACCTATTTGAAAAACGAAAATAACTTTTACAACCATTTTTTTTAGTTTCTGTAATTACAGTCAAGTCTAAAGCTACTGTATGGAGGTATAATTTAAAATTGCAATTTACTTCTAATTTGTCCACAAACAAGTATATATTTCTGTAATTTATTCGTAACCTGCCTGTTGAAATAAATTCATTTGTTTGACTTAATTTGCAAACAAAGTCATTTTATCAACTTCTACAACTTTTGACTTTTGCCACAATACATAGAGAAAGGAGAATTAAATCAGCAAATAATGGCCTATTTGGTGCTTAATGGATAACTAATAATTGAATAAATTAGTAATTTTGACTTGTTGGTAATATAAAGTATTTGCTAAATAATTAGTTGTTTGAATGTTAAAATAACTAATAATTGTAATTACCAAACAATTAAATTATATCAAAAGTTCTAGCTCAAATATCTAATTTAGCTCTAAAATGATTATCAAACAAGATATGTTTGAGATTTGTCTGAGATTTGTCTTTATGAAACCAAAAACAAAATATATTCCAATATTTTAATGAAGTATAATTTCAAGTGTACACAAAACACAACAAACAGTTAATTAATAAATAAAATAACAAGAAAAAGAATAAGCTTTTTTACTGATTTATTATTTAGCTCAAGACTCAGTGGCCCCAAAAATATTTTATTTGATTGGGATTTGATAACAAGTTGTGGCATGGCGACTCTCAGGATTAGATAAAGAAAGGCTGGGGACTTCTTGGAACCACGCCCAAAATTATTGACCCCAAAAGAAATAAATTAGAAAAAGGTATTTGGGGAGAAAAAGGTAAAAGAAAATGAAAAAAGGGCAAGAAATGTGAAGAGGTGGTGCTATATATGGATTGACTCTCAACTTCAAAATTTTCTTTTTTCTTTTTCAGCTAATCAACTCACAGCAAGGGCAAAAATTGCATCAAGGCTCTCTTTATTTTGGTAAATTTCTGAGAAAAATTGTTTCTTTTGGTGGGATCTTGTATTTTTGTTTTTTGTTTTTTTTTTGTTTTTCTTGTTTTTTTTTGTTTTGTTTCTTCTTCTAGCACTGGTAATAGGTTTTTGATTTCTTTGATGTGATGCTAAATTCCTGAGATTTGTTAGTTTTACTTGTGTTTTGCTTATATGCTTTTTTTGGGGTTGGAAATAATGATCTAAACTGTGGCTTAAGATTGTGCTTTGAGCCTTTGGTTTTGGTTGCTTTTTCGTTGTCTGATAATGTGAGATGATTGTGAGGTCTTAGGTCCTGTAATTTAAAAAATATGGGTTGAAAGTAATAATATCAACTGAGGTTTGGGATTGTGCTTTGAGCACCTGGTTTTGTTGCTTTTTTATTGTATAAGAAAAGAATGTGAGATGATTATAGGATCTTAAGTAATGTAGTTTAAACAATATGGGTTTGTCTCGGCTTTTACTTATTTTCCTCCATTTTCTTGTTGAGTTCTTGCAGCTTGAAAAGGAGATATTTTTTTCCTTTTTTTTTTTCCTCCTTTTATAGCCGTGTGTTTTCTTTCTGATGTAGGAACTATTGGAAATCTACAAGTGAGTTTCAGCAAAAATATTTCTTTAGCATATGGAGGTTTATGTGTGCCTAAATTGTTTATAAACTAATTTATGTGTTTTCTGATTGAGGTCTTATGGAAAATATAATGATGTGAGAATGTGAAGTGCACATTTTGTAATCTGTAGATAAACTAAATTCTGTGGCATCTAAAATTTGTATTTCTTGATCATATGTTTTTGATTTTTTTATCTTGGCATTTTCTTTCAATGGCAAAAATCGAATTTAGGAGGATTTGTAATCCAAGAAATGCAATTTGCAATCACTTTTTCTTCTCTTTAGCTGAGATCAGCACTGTAAAGGCTAAATTCTCTTATGCTCGTATAACCCCCTAAATATTGTTATAGAGTTAAGTCACCTAATGTTTACTTTAAACTGCAGTTTTAATCCCACTCCATTCGAGCCACTCAGAGAAAATACTAATTGAACCATGGACCCTGAAGAAACACTATGTGCAGATAATACATGGGTGAAAAATGCCCCGTCCAGTGATGAATCCCTCAGAACACTTCTAAACAATCCATCTTTCGTAAACAACTCTCAGCACCCGTTTTCAGATTTTGCTCATTCGAACAACTCGCCTCAAGATTGGGATCCAAATGCAATGCTCAACAACCTCTCTCTCCTCGAACAAAAAATCCACCAGCTCCAAGATTTGGTCCATGTGATCGTTAAGCGCAAGACCCAAATCGACGGTCGAGATGAAATCTTGATCCAGCAACAGCAGCTCGTCACTGCTGACCTCACCTCGATAATCGTGCAACTAATATCGACGGCCGGGAGCCTCTTACCGTCTGTGAAGCAGCAAACCCCTCTCAGCCAGCTGGCCAGATTCGGGCCCTCGAGCTCGAATCAGCTCAACAATGTTCTCACTCATAACAATGTGGAAGAGGGCCCGAGCTTAAACGGGCCGATTGAGGACCATGAAGAAAAAACCGACGACGAGCACGAAGAAGGCGAAAACCTGCCACCTGGTTCGTATGAAATATTGCAGCTCGAGAAGGAGGAAATTCTCGCGCCACACACCCATTTTTGCACGATTTGCGGAAAAGGGTTCAAACGTGACGCGAATTTACGCATGCACATGAGGGGTCATGGGGATGAGTACAAAACTCCGGCTGCACTGGCGAAGCCCCATAAAGAATCGAGTTCCGAGCAAGTTCTTGTCAAGAGGTACTCTTGCCCGTTTGTGGGCTGCAAGCGAAACAAGGATCATCGCAAGTTCCAGCCTCTGAAGACGATTTTGTGCGTGAAAAATCACTACAAGAGAACTCATTGCGACAAAACGTACACTTGCAGCAGGTGTAATACGAAGAAATTCTCCGTGATTGCCGATTTGAAAACGCACGAGAAGCACTGTGGGAGGGACAAGTGGCTTTGTTCGTGTGGGACCACTTTTTCGAGGAAAGATAAGCTTTTCGGGCATATCGCTCTCTTTCAAGGGCATACGCCGGCTATACCTGTCGAGGACTGTAAAGGGTTTCAAGGGCAGTCGAACAAAATCGAGCGGCTTGAATTCGGTTGTAAGGCTGAGGGTCCGAGTAGTGGCGCGTGTGGAGATGTTGTGATGGATTTGGAAGGTTCTGGAGGAGATTCAATTGCTTATTTTTCGCCTTTGGGTTTCGAGACGGATAGCATTGGGGGTTTTAGTGATTTTCCGAGGCCTCCTTTTGAGGATTCGGATAGCTCGTTTTCTTTTCTGCTCACGGGCTCGTGCAATTACCCTTCGAAGGATGGTGGGTGCTCGAACGGTATGGAGTAGTGTGGGGAAGTGATGGATGTTCTTTGTGGTGTAGTTTGGTGTTTTTATGAATAATGTGTGAGTTATTGGGGTTTTATGCACAAGCAGCAATGTTTTAGTATAGTTTTTCTTACACAAAGCCTTGTACTCAGAATCATGTAACTCCATTACATCTCATTTGCATTAATGAAACTACTGTTTATTTCTCAATTGCATATATTGAGGCACAAAACAGAGAATGAATGGAGAGGGAGAAGGAAATTTCACAGAATTAAATGAAGCTAATGACTATAAGCTTCTGAGACAAAGAAATTGAAATACAATCAATGTCTGAAAAAAAAATACTTTCAATCAAAATCATATAATTTTCCATAAAGCCAGTGAGTTTTTTCAGCTGACATGTGTGATCTGCCTGAAACTGGAGTTATGCATCAGTATGAGCTTCAAGCCCTTCACACCACCACCTGCACTCGATCTCGTCACCTTCTTTGAAGGGCTCGGGTAATACTTCTCCTTGAGCACAATATCATCCTCACACGACCAAGTGGGCCCAATTGGAGAACAATCGGCATACAAAAACCGAGCTGAAAACGGGTTCACAAGACTCCTGCGGAACTCTTGGGCTGTCTCGCATAAGACTCCCTGCACCAAATATATAGAGACAATTATAAATTTTGAAAGATGATAAACCTGAAAGTTCAGCTTAGTTAAAGAAAAATCCCCAGTTATATTCGAACTAATTGCAAACGCAATTAAAAATGAAAAAATTTTGTGTTGGTTATTATTTTCTCACCTCTGCCATAGCCTTGATCTTCAAAGTAACATCATTCGAAAGAAGGACGAGTTGTCCATCTTTCCTAACTCGCCTGCAGCAAAGCGCATAATCAAGAATGTGATCCCCAGCAGTTGGGGTCACGATCTCCTGCATCAAGCTACATGGGAAAAATGGAGTCGAGGAACCAATGGAGTTCGCCCATTTGTCCTCACCAAACCAATGAGGAGATGAAGAAGAAGCAGGTGGGGTTGGTGGTAGAAGCCCGACTTCCTCAGTCGAGCTCTGCACGTGAATCCACCATTTTGCAACTTCCATGCTTTCTTCGATAAATTGAAGTGCTGCATAAACCTCGCTTGTTCTAGTGAAGAAATCTCCACGTCTTAGCATGCAGTCAAGTTCTCTCACAACTAAGGATAAGGAAAAAAAAAGTTATGATAGATATTGGATGAGTTTATCAAAATTTATGAAAAAAGAGAACTTTTACCAATCCTTGGAATAACTAGATTAGTCCCTCGAAGGCCACGCAGCAGGTGCAATTCTTTTCTCGAGTTTTTGTCCAGCAAGCATGCAGTGTCGACTACAATAACCCACTTGATTTTTGGCACCTTTGTAGTATTGTTCTGCAAAATTTGTTTAGAACAAAATTTGAATCATCATTGCGAAATCAGCAACTCAGGTTTGGTCTCATTACAAAAAATTTACAGTTACATCATCTCTAACAAGTCAAATTTAGGACAATCTAAACATACCGAAAAAACAAGCCGATTAACTTATGTTTGAGAAATTTACCTCTTCAGGCTCAGGACACTTGATATCAATGCTACCTCTCGTGATGTTATGCTCACAGACTGAAGGTTTTGATTTGCTCTTATGGTCACCAGGAGATTCCAGAGGCAGAGGGCAAAAGGGTTCCCTATATGCTCCACACTTTGACAAAGCCAACTCTTTTTTCGAGCTACCATGGCTTTTAAAACCAGAACTTGTCGATCTCCATTCCCGGAACACTTTTTTACACTGGCTGGCTTCCTCTTGATACATGTTGCTGTTGTACGCTTTCTTCAAGGGCGATGACCTGTGTGAAGAACTAGGATTTTTACCTGCAATATTCTTCATGGACCTAATCACACGACTTCCTGGAGTCATATTCTCTTTGTCTGGAGTGAAAATTTCTTCATCCAAGTCCACAATCGAGACAGGCATGCTCAAAACCAGCCCACTCTTCAAAATTTCTCCCTTTTTGCTCTTTGAATCACTGAATAGATGAGAATGGGGAAAGGCATTCTCCTTTTCCGGTGTTGTGAAACTTTCTTTTTCATCGTCAACATACATCGGAAGTGATTCATTATTTTGATTTTCATCGATAAAAGACTTCTCCATCTGCAAGCTTGTGTTGATTCTTGAAGATTTTGCTCTGAATTGGCTGGTCTCAATCCCGACACTTTCAGGTTTGCTCCTTCTTGACCAAATGTTAATAATACCTGATTTTTTCTTTGAGTTCATCACAGGGGTGCCGTTTTCTTGTTCAAATTGACATGGCTGACTAATGCAGATATCATTTTCTTGAATAAACAATTCAGGTAAACTATATTTCTCTAGATCCTCAGTGGGAACTGAATCATGCAAGTCTTCATACACTAGAGGCAGCACAGGACTCGTTTTTCGAACAGAAGAACAAAAATCCTCATTGGGAATTGAAAATAGCCGTTCTAGGCCTTCCAGATGATCCCCCATAGTCTCAACGTGATCACTTCCATCAAACAATGTGTTATGATCCTGAAAAAAGAAAAATTTCAAAATAACCAAATTAAAGAATAAGAAAACATCAAACCCAAGATTTTCTAGTAACTACTGTTGTGAAAAGACATTCTTTCGAGTAAAATTCTTAAGACAATGACCTGATCTGTTGCTTTATCTGGTTCTTCCTCTGGTACACCACTGGCCTTGTCTAATTGAGATACAAAGGGGTCGTTTATGTCATAAGCACGGCTGATCGGAACCCAATCTAGCCTGTACAGCCTACTCGATGCCCCAATTTGTAAAGTATCGCCCTCGTTTAGTTTCACCATGACCCCTGGCTCTACTTTCTTTCCGGAAATCCAAGTCCCATGTACTGAACAAGAGCAAATTGAAGAAAAAAAATGTATAAATCAAACCAAGAAAAACAGGACATAGGAAACTGAAAAGGAAACATCCTAAATGAAAAAAACAACTACAAAAAACTCAGCAGTTGAAACTTAATAGATGCAACAACCCATTACAATGCCACCAGAAAAAGGCATGGATTTAAATGATAAACATCCAGATAAAGCCAAGTTATTTCCATGTAAATACATGCTCCACGCCACGCATTAAACGATTAGACGGACTAAAAATTCATCCAAGTTCCATGGTTTCTGTTTTGAACCTAATAAAATTTAAAAATTAAATAAGAAAGTTACGCTAGGGCTGATTCACAATATCACATAGAGCAAAAACCCCAATTATATCGAGTCCCAGAAAGAAACACGATTAAATTTGTGAACAAGGAAAACCCACCATTAGGAACGACACCGTTCTAGCACGAACACGCATACACACACAGTGTAAGAAATTCAAAGAACTAAACAGGAAAAGGAAAAAGAGAGATCATTTACCAGAGGACAAATCAGTTACGTGAAGAGATCGAGAATCGGGATTCGAGTGAATGCGAAGATGAAATCGACTGACACTCGGGTGCTCCAATTTTATATTGCAATCCGGGTGTCTTCCCACGACCAATATATCCTCCATTTCCGACTCTCGACGGACATTTTCCGGAGCCGAAATTGATGGAGGGTTGTCCAGAAGAAAGATGTTCTTGAGTATGCAGTTGTTTTTCAGGACTGTGAAAACTGGGATTTCCCTTTCTTTGGGTTTTGGGAGTTCTTGATCCTCAGCCATTGTTGCGCAGAGAATGAGAGGCGTTTGAGTGTTGTTTGGGTTCTTGAGAATATTTTGGGTTCTTGAAATGGAAGGGGAGGGATTTCGGTGGGAATTTGAATTGAGTCTTAAAACCGTAGGATGGGTCATGTGAAACGGCTAGCTTTAAATTTTTTGCTGATTTATTTCTTTTTTTTAAACAAGAAATAGTTCAGCTCGGATTGCGTGAAAGCTCGAGTTTGTCTCGTTTGTTTATTTAAATGAGTTGAACTAGAAAGAAAGGTATAATGTGTAATATTATATACTTAAAAATAAAATAAAATTAAGCCGCAAATATAAATACCACCCCCTCTGTAAATTCTTCGATCACCGGAGCCCGCCCAAGCCTCGGCGATTTGAAATTGAGCAAAAAGTTAGCTGGCAAATAACTCCGAAACCTAACTTTTGACCATTTTTAAAGCGCCATCCTTCACTCGCCGCTTATTCCTCCATTTTGGGTTTTGCTGTGAATCCTGATTTGAGGTACTTTCAATCTTTTGCTTTTTCATGCTAAAGATCAATAATTTCGTTCTTTTTCTAGTGGCTTTTTAATTTTTGGAATACATGGAGTGTTAATTTGCTTAATTCACCATTTCTGTGGTTGGATTCGTATAAAGTTACGTTCTTTTTGGGGAATTTTCTCCGGGACTCGTGTTTGTTTTGCAATTGAGCTGACAAAAAACTCTAAGGTTCGTAAACTTCTTGGCTTTTCTGCGATTTCTAGGTGTAATTGTAGTTCTCTAGTGTTACCATTTTTGTTGATTCTGATCAGTTATGCCTGCTAAATTCAGATTCTGTTTCTGTCAGAAAATTGTGAAAAAATGGCGTTTCTTACAATGTAAGAGCCCACTGCAGTTGCCCTTAAGCTGTTTGTGAAAATGACTACATGATACAATCTATTTTTTTTTTTTTTTTTTTTTTTTGCCAATACAATCTAGTTTTGTCATATGCAGTTGTTAGTTTTGTGTTCCATGATTTGAATCTTTCTTGAATAGTATTCTATTTATGTGGACAGATGACAGTAGCAACAAGTGTTTATTTATTTATTTATTTATTTTACATCGAAAATACTTCCCACTTGATCCAAACCAAGTGACATGATTTTAGACATCGCCACCGGGTCAACTGGCCCGCCGATCCGGCACGGACCCGGCCCGGATGTGGCCCGGTCAAACCATTTGACCGCATGTTCAAACCCGGCTCGGATTTCAAGCGGGTCGGTCCAGGGCCTTCTTTTTGTCGACATCGACCTGGCGTGCCGGGCCGGGTCCGAATCCGATTCGGTTCGGCACGGGAAAAATGAATTATTTTTGGATTTTTCTTTTTTCTTATTTTTTTATTTTGCCGGGTCAGACCTGCCCGGCCCGCCAAGTCATGGGCCCGGCACGGATTTAGGGCGTGCCGGTTCAGGGTCGAAATAACCCAACCCTTCGGCCTGCCGGGCCGGGCCCGGCCCGTCATTTGGCCATGTCTACATGATTTCCTCGTTATTTCATGATCAAAATTTTATTTGTTGCTTTATCTGAATCAGTCTATACAGCTTTTTTCCCCCCAGAAATATGCTTTTGTTACCCCAAATTTTGAAGGAGAAGAAAGAAGAAATTTTTTACTTCTTATACTGCATGTTTTGTTTCCTCTTAGTCTATCTGTTATTCCTGTACGAATCTTTGTGAATTATATGTCTTTGAACTTCACAGAACAAGAATGTCAATATGCGTTTGGGTTGGATGAGCTTAACACAAAGTTATTTGCAAAAGTTCCACTTTTATATTTGTAGTGCTCCGTTTGAATTATGAATTTTTCTGGATTATTAATATTATTGTGCATTTATTTACATTTTGATTTTCTATACTCAACAAACTTTTCGAGTTAATTAGACGTTAGTATTTATTTAATCCGTTAAGAAAAATAATTTATTTAAATATTAGTGTTTATTTAAATTATTCGAATTTTCAAATAATCATTATCTATTCGAAATTCACCGTTTTGTTTTATTTAGCGAATCATCGCTAGCCGTTTTGTATCCAATTTTATAGCCTTTTAAGTTATTTCTTTTGGCCCAAATCGAAACTTAGTTTGGGCCCAATAAGTTCTTGTATTATTTTGGCCCAATTGCTAGTTGATTTAAAACCAAGTGATTCCTATGTCAATTGATAAGGAATTTTTGGGATTTTACCCAGCTCATTTATCACGTAGTCAAACCCTTATTCACGCCTCCCATCCCAAATCTCATCTTCCTTCTCCCAAACATTCTCGAGCAGCAGAGCAGAGAAATTCGATTCCTCTCATCACCGCCCGTAATCCCAACCGCGAATTTCCATCGCCGGGAAGCGCCTCGCCATCGCCGGAGGTGCGGCCTCAGTCCGATAGCCACATCAAATCCCGTCCGATCAGCCCCTATTCGCCAAGAAACCCAACGGAGATTTGTCTGTTCACGTCGGGAATCCCTCCAGCGCCGACAGTTCCCCCACGCGCCGATTCCTTCACCGCCGGTTTTCGTCCGCAGTGGCCGCCCCTTCACGTCAGCGGCGCCGTCGTCATTTCAAGCCGACGACCATCGCATATTTCCTTCCAGCGAGCAGTAGCGACCTCCTTGTTCAGTATCGGTGGGAGATTTCGAGCAGCGGGTCTTGTCGTTCTTCACCATCGCCGACCCGGGCCGAGGAGCAACAAGTTCCGGCGTTTTTTCCTCAGCCGTTAGATCACAGCAGATTCTGTTCCCTTCAGTCCTGCCGGAGAAGAGAACTCCACAACCGTGCGCCTGGTTCAGCGACCGAATAGCAGCGGCACCCCCGTCGGCCTTCATTTAGCGGCCCAAACAGCAGCGGCAGCCCTTTGGGGTCACGTGCTCCGTTTGAGGCTTTTGTCGAGCGGTCGGGGTCCTCGAACATTAGCATGGAGCAGTAGTAGTCCCGTTTCCCGTGGAGTGAACATCAAATCGGCCGTTTCAGCCCAAAGTCGAGCGACCCTCCCGCCGGAAGTTCACACGAGCAGGCCCAACCTTTGAACATCGAGTAGCAGCAGGCCCGTTCGCACAAGCAAAGCCGAGTCCAGTCCCCAGCCGTGCGTGTGTAATAGCAGCTTGTCCGAGGCCTTTGAACCGAACCCTCCTTCATCTGTTTCTCGTTCAATTCCCGAGGAGGTATATGGCTTAACCCTCTTTTAAATATTTAGAGTGTGTTTTGAAGGATTTAATAGGGCTTAAGGTTCGATGAGTTGAGAATTGTGGAAATTGAGGATTTAATAGGGCTTAAGGTTCGATGAGTTGAGAATTGTGGAAATTGATGAGTTCATTGAAAAGAGAAGTATATTATTTTGATGTTATTGAATTGATGTTGGACCTCGATTAGGGTGTCATATTAGCCTCTAAAAATTAATATTTGATGTTTAATAAGGGTCGGGGTAAGTGGTTTTAAGCCGTGTAATAAACGTTGATGCATATTGCTATGTTCAGAGCCTTGCCGGGTTTCGAAAGATATGAATTAAGTTACTGCGTTTACTGAGGTTTAAACTTCTAATAAGAAGCTTATAAAGTCTTAAGGTGCCTTGAGTCGTATTTCAAAAATTGGTTAATCGCCTTAGTCCAGCCTTTTATTTTTTCTCGAAATTTTGATGATTGAGAGGGCTATGTATGCTGCGATTTTTCTGAGTTATTTCATCCCCTAATGTGCTCATATACCTTGTAGGTTTGAGCTCTAAGAGTGCCTTTGAGTTATATTTGAAAATCGGGCATAAAACGCTTAAGTCGAGCCTTTGTCGAAATTTGAAAAATTTGATGTTTATGCTGCGATTTTCCGAGGATTAGACCTCTGATGTGGTGCTTAATTACCTGGTATATTGGTGATTTAGATACCATGAGAAGTGCTCAAAAAGTCGAGATCAAAAGCCTTAGAATTATTTTTCGAAAAAACATGTTCATTGCTTTGTTTGGGGCCCTTTATTATTTTTTTTTCGAAAACCTGAGTTATGGGGCTGCTATTGCTGAGTATTTTTGACTTCTGGTATGTTGTGAAATGCTTTGAAAAGTTGAGGATTAATTGCCTCTTTGATCGCTTGAAAAATCGAGTTTAAATCACTTTACCTGAGCCCCTTTTTATTTTTGAGAAGTTGATGTATATATGCTGCGTTTTCTCTGTTGATAAGCTGCGTTTTTTTTTTCCAATTAAATTGTTGTTGGATAATAAACAGGCTATGGCGAATGTAGAACCTGCAAACATGGAAATTAGCCCGTATCAAGGTGAGAGCGGGCCCAGAAAACCCCGCATTCTTCTTGCCGCCAGTGGAAGTGTAGCGGCCATAAAATTCTCTAACCTCTGCCATAGTTTTTCCGAGTGGGCCGAAGTTAAAGCAGTTGCTACTAAAGCATCACTACATTTTGTGGACAGGGTTTCACTTCCCAAGGATGTCATTCTTTACACGGACGAGGATGAATGGTCGACTTGGAAGAAAATAGGCGACACTGTGCTTCACATTGAGCTGAGGAAATGGGCCGATATAATGGTCATTGCACCTTTATCAGCTAACACACTTGCTAAGGTAAATTAAAAAAAATAAAAACACTCCAAAATTTGTCACTTGAGATTTAATTTCTTGTGGTTGTAGGCCTCTTGGAGTGAGTTAGTACAGTCTGCATTTCTGTGCTGTTTCTAGGGCGGAAAA